ATCCATTTCTACATAAAAACGGCACGTAGCCACTTTTGAAGGAGAATATTGTAAGGTATGATAGGAAACAGCTATTTGTTCAAAATGGATACATATATACATAGCAACACGGCTCCAAGAGGCTTTTCGAGCACACTGAGAGTACAAATCGCCGCTATCTGTGGAAAGTCCTTGAGGAATCCCTTCCCTCTAACGTGCGCTGCAACTATGGGCCTCGCCATCATCTGCAAATTTCAATGTTAGTATATTTGCGGAGGATGCGACCAAATAGCTATCAACTGGGTCCAATTGCAACCATCTTCCGGGACACACTTACTTCGAATGATCTTGATGACCGCCTGCACTACACTGACACCCATCACAAGCACACCAAAGCAAATACATAGGTATGCTGGGATCTTCTCTCGCCGCGTAGCACTGCTAAGCTTGATGTAACAGAGAGGAGGGAATATATAGGCCAGAGCAGCAGCACTAGTCGCGCCAATGAGCTCAAATACACTTCCCAGATCACAGGTTATCAAGGATAACACCATCGAAGTCACCACCAGCGCCGTTGTGAAGATAATATGCCGAACAGTGTTGTGTGGTTCGTCGGGGAAATAGTAGGTTGTCATGACGGAACGGCAGACGAACGCCTCGAGCGGTAGTGTGGTCAACATGTTCAAGCCAAAGCAGCTAATAGAAGTCAGTCAAGAATCTCTATATCAAGACCAATGGGAAAATTGTACAATCGTGCGATATTGACAACGATATTGTCTGATGGGAAGTTGTTCAGAACGTTGCCCTGGGTTTTAGACCCGAACGACAGAAACCCTGCGATACCCATTGCTAGACACATCACCAGAGATATTCCTGTCGAGTAATGTGTGACTCGGGCGAAACGGTCGAGTGTCGGCTTTTTCAGTGAGCCATAGATCAGAAGACTGTTGTGGTCTGTGAAAATTAGTGGTTGGGATATCAGTAGGATAAAAAGGAACATACGACAAACGAAAGCTGGAAATTGTTAGAAGCTTTCCAATTATTGACGGGACAGCTAAGACTTACCAAAAGAAATGACCCCGACAGCCTGAAAAAAGCCAGTGTTGAATACGAGGTGGCTTTTGATCTCTCCACGCGATTCAGGCGGGACCCGAAAGCCCTGGGTGATGACTGTGACGACAATGACTATCATGCTAACAAATGCCAAGGCGGATGCTTTTGCCAGCTACCTGACTGTTAGTCTATGATAAATAGTAAGGAAAGAACGAGCTGACCTTAGCAATGTCTCTATACAAGGACAATGGATATGAAACTACCAAAACGAAAATAACGATAACCGCCCTGCGGTCTGTGAAAAGCCAGAGGAAGGCCATATCCTTAAGAGACGGAAATAAAGCGCCTAGAACGTGTGGAATGGTATCGCCAACAATAATGCAGAATGCGACCATGCCACCGAATGCAAATGCCCACTGTGCAACTGAGATCGCGATGAGACCACTCTTCCCGAAGCAATGCTGCATAGTTGCCTGAAAGGAATCCGCCCCACTCAATTTAGAGTTGACCACAATCAATCGAATGGTCCAGTCCACTGTGACGGTCAAGGCAGTCAGCAGCACAATTCCCATCGCCATGCCTGCTTGACGGAGCGCGTAAGGTTGCCCAATAATCCCAGCGCCGATAATGCTGTTGGCCATGTTCATGAACGCCATTTTCATCCCACTCCGCGGCCGCGCATTTTCGAGATGATCTTCGGGGAAGAAATCGTCCGACGTTGCAAGTGTCACACTAGGCGCTTCGATATTTGTGAGAAGAGGAATTGATTGTCCACTGTGGTGTGTCCCTGGGCCTCGGTTTCCAAGTTCATAGTCCTCGTCCTCCAGCCATAGTGTGTCATCTGGACTGTCGTCCGGGCTGAGAGTACGCTCAATGGAAATGCGATTGTCTTCGGGCTCTTCGTCCAGGTCGAATCGAACTCGGTTCATGGTACGGGGTATACGGCGCTTTCCGTCGGTTGCAGGTTGAGAAATCGCGGAGTGGGATATGCTACTTGTCGCGTTATGTGAGGGGATCGGCGACGGAAGAGGCTCCGGATGGAGAGCTAGATCATGCTCCTCGCTTGAAGCAGACAGGAGGGATTGGGCTTCATGTTCATCCTGGCCATTCCGGGCATACAGGTGATCCTCTGACAACTCATCCCCTGGCATCGCTGAGCGTAGATAGTTGGAAGTGTAACGGTTACTTTCAGGCCACCTGGATTAAGGCCACACGTGACAGATTGTCGATAGGGGAGTACGATAAGAGATAACGGTGGTTAAACCGCGGTTCCGAGGTTCACCATATGCACGTCACGGGTACTCCACTGTATAGTACGGAGTACTTCCGAATGGGTCTATCTAGTAACAAATAATTAGAGTTGAATACAAATGAAGGATGAATATTCTTAGGATCAAAAGGCACAGTCCATGGCACAAAAAAAATTAGACAGTATCTGCAGTATATATTCAAGGGACCCTTGTCTCATTCATTCAGAAAAGTAGAAAAACAATGACTACTCATCTAACACAACCTCAATGATACTGCGAACAGGGTTATCCAGCCCAATAATTCTTTCAATCCGGAATCCAGTGCCTTCCATGAGAGCATGCCATTGCTTCATACTGCGCTCTTTACCAGCCATGAAAAACATGTTGATGTCATAAAGAACCTTTTGTGTGTCTGGCCGAGTATCTGTCAGGACAATATCGCAAATGAGAAGCTTCGAGTTGTAACCCCTCATTGCCGGAGCCAAGTTTCGGAGAATTGTTCTGCACTCTGCATCTTGCCAGTCATGTAATATGAGCTTGAGTAGATATGCCGCAGCACCTAAATAACAGGTATAAGCAAATATCATATCAAGTCCAAATATAACTCTGTCCACCTACCTTTGATGGGTTGCACCTCTTCAAAAAAGTTGTAAGGTTGCACTTCGACTTCGGGCGAACACACCCTATCTCCAGCTGCAATCACCGCTGGTAGATCCTGGAGGACATATCGCCCTTTGAGGTTTGGATATGAGGATTGTATATTCTGGATGCTTTGGCCTTTTCCACCGCCAATATCAACTAGAACGACTCCATCCTCTTCGACTTGAAGGCTACTGAAGTCGTATAAGTCACCTAAGGGGTCTTTGAAGCTTGTCATCGCTTCATTGAATATTGTTGCAGCTTTGGGATCTTGTTGTAGCAGCGAAAAGAAATCCACATTTTTGGCCCCCTTCGCAAATGCGAAAGGCGTGTTCAGTCGGTCAGAGGGGCTCACGAAACCCGTGGTGTTGAAGAACTCAATGTATGAAGACATAGGTCTGAAAACATTATCCCATGAGTGTCTGGTATACGACTGCATGAACTTGTTGTTCCATTCTTGAGACAAGGCGGTCTGCTTGAATGTATCCTCTCCAACCTCCTCGAAGATGTTCAATGCTCCTAAGGCGCGGGTAATGCGCCCAGTGAATTCCAAGTCTGTTCCTGCCTGCTTTGCTAGGTGCTCAACCGTGAAAGGAGCGGAGGTTGGAAGGTTGTCAAAAAGGCGCATCTCGATGGCCAGCCTCACGCAAAGAACCTTATGGGGTTGGAAGTGAAACGCCATCAGAGACCGTCTCGGTTCCACTGCGCATTGTGCAAGCTTCTGGGAGGTCACATCGATGCTTGTTAGAGCTGATATCCTCTCTGACTCGGACTCAGCGTGCGAGTATTGCAAAATTGCTTCGTTGATGGTGGATGCGAGGGAGGCGAGTTTGATAGGGGATGGCCCATGGGACATTACTTCGATAGTCATGCTGGCGGATTCTGATAATCTGAAGATGGATTAGGATATCAAAGGACGTATATATACATCAGCAGTAAATCGAGCCTATGAACTCCATGGATGGGGTCTTTTGGGCCATCTTCCGCGGAACTCTCAGCCGAGGACCTACCAGCTGCAGACGATAATTCTGTCAATGGTTGCCCCATTTACTATTTCAGTGGCTAGCTGAATTGAATGTAACCGGGGTTTACATAAAGTTCTACTATGCAGATCGGCATTAATAACAATGAACTGATAGCGAAAAATTAATCATGACCTGGTTGACTGCCTACGTTTGATTGCTCGGGGCGTTGTCGGCTAAATTAACCTCACTATATGTGGCGGTGACTGCCTGCATTGAAAGTGGCTGGCTCGGCCGTATCTGCCGGCTACTGTGTATCCACGTACTGATGGATTTTGATACTGCCCAGGCTTATGCATGATGTCGGTGTGGTGAGATTACGATTGGAACAGACCGGTGAACGCCATGAGCTGAAGATATTTTGTGGATGCATGCCAAGTTATCCCAGTCGAGAGCAGTTTAGCGCTGGAGCTATTTCTCGGTCCACACGGAACTTCCCGTAGTCACACCCGAGAGGCTATCGAGAAGTGATCTATCGAGTGTGGGTCGTGGCTCTAGTGGGCTGGTCATATGAGTAGTTACCCTATTATATCGTACTTAGAATGGGACTGTAATGCCGATCAAGGCGTAAAATCATATCCCGAGACAGAGAAACTAAGATCGTTCATGATTGGCGCTTACAAACCTCATTTTGTACAAAGTATGGCTCTCGCCTCAAAAATCCTCAGAAATAGAAAAATAGTAAGGCAAAGCTCATCATCCTGTGTGACTTGCTACACCAACGTGAACTTTGATTTGGCTGGCTAAAGCAGAGATCTGCAAATATCATGATTTTGAATCTCGATGCATGTGGCGGTGACGGCACTGACTTGTGGCGAGCTGAAGCCTCTCCATATTTGTTGGTTTTTACCGATGAGTGCCACGTCAACCTAATTAAACTTGTAAGACCGCGCGAGAAATCTATGCAGGACGGATAACAGCGGATTGCAGCCTGAAGATTCGCTTCATCAATCAGAAATATACATTCTCTTAAATAAGTCATATACCGTTCTCTAAGCGCTCCTATCTTCTTCTAACCATCTGCACGAAGTCCATATATCTTGGATACACTTGAAAAATGACCCAGACACAGATTCCTCCAAAAGACTATTGGTCTACAGAGGTCTGTGGCCATGAACTCTTGCCTTGTCTTGTCTGCGCTGACCAAATCTAGACATATGCAGCTGCGGCTTCTTTTGTCCCCCATTTTGCCGACACTCTCGTCCAAAGCATAGAATTTAACCCTACGGACAGAGTTCTAGACATTGGATGTGGTGATGGCAAGTTTACCACCAGCTTTGCTCCCTCGGTCAATTATGTTATGGGCGTTGACTCTTCCCCATCCATGATCAACACGGCCAAGACATTGGACTACGGTGGAACGACCACGGATTTCCGTGTTGTCGATTGTCGGCACCTTGAAGAAGATGCAGAAGTTATGAATGGAAACTGGGATAAAGTGTTAGTATCCGTGTTCCCACTTCCTGTGGAACCGTGCTGATACAATTTTAGCACTTCCAATGCTGCATTCCATTGGATCTTGAAAGACCCACCTACCCGTATCTCCACATTGGAAAATATCTTTCAATCAATGAAGCCCGGAGGTACGTTCTTCTTTGAGATGTGCGGACATGGAAATGCACCAGAAAAGGTCACAGCATTCATGTTCGCCCTTGTCAACCATGGAGTTCCAATCGAGACGGCGGAAGCTATGTGCCCCTGGTTTTATCCGTCCGACGTCTATATGAAGAAGATCATTGAGAGTGTTGGGTTTCAAGTTAAGATGATTGAACTTAACCCCCAACCGCTGGAGCTGACCACCTCTGATAACGGTGGACTGGAAGGATTCATGAGATTAATCGGCGCTCAGATGCTGGATATCTTGGATACCGAGGAGAAGAAGAATAGTGTGATAGAGCAGATCTGCCGAATGCTCCGGTATGGGACTACAAGAGAAGATGGGAGTCAATGGATCACATATGCCAGTCTGAGATGTGTTGCTGTTAAGCCGTGAGCAGATCTCAGCAGCAATTTCCATTTTAAGCAAGATCTATAACAAGAATTTAGCTTTTCAGCTGAGCCTTTACAAAGCCCAAATTCATGTCGTGAAAGTAAACAGGTATTTAAGAATTGAATGCACGCGATGTCAGGGTAAGAGTCTAAAGTCATGTGCCCTGTCCATGTACTGTAGCCGCATCCATCCCTCTCCCGCTCCAACACCCCACCAATCCCCAAATCGCTCGTTTAAATGACTGTTCCGGTCTCCAAAAGAAGGTATGATGCTTTGGTGATGAGCCTCCTCTGCAATGGCACAAACGCTCGACTTGGGTAAATCCACTCTGCGAATCCGAGATTCAAAGTTGCAGCTTCGTCTGGCCGCATCGGCTCATTTCAACCAATCACCAAGTCATGCAACTCCCCAAATACCAATTGACCTCTCACAATTATCAAATCTTGAAAGTATATGGATAACAGAGGCACCAGAGCTTGAGTTGCGCTTCTTGATCGGGGGAAATTGGGATCAAAATGAAGCAGCGGCATTCATCTCGAAGTTGAGAGACAAACTTTGCGATATGGAGGTGTGTGCGGGAGAATATTTCTCAAATTGGAGACTGACTTCCTTGCTTCAGATCTGGTCGGATCTCGGATTTTCAGTTGAGCTCAAGAGATATTGTATTGAAACTTCTGGTTTCCACTTCCTCGAACTTGGTATGCACAGAGGGTGTCTAGCACGGAACCACACAACGGGTCGGACTTTGCCTGGTTCGATGACCGATCCCCTAAATGCGCGTCCTCCCCCTGGTGTACCAGTAGCTACCTTGGCTTCGATTGACGTTCGGCTGGAGTATCGCTTTCAAGCCAAAGATGTATCACAAGCCGAGGACTGTTCCATGTTGGAGGTTGGTCTTCTTGGACAAGGAACATCGGTTGTCTCGAGTCCTCATGTGTTAGAGGAAATGGCAGAAACCAAAATCCTACTGCCAATGCATGACGAGAATTCCTACGCAGCTGTTAGACAACAGACTGCTCGCATATCTGGAGAAAGATCACCATCAAGCGAGGAACTCTTCCGACTGTTCGATCTTGGAATCCAAAGACTGATCTTTTCCAACTCGATCAAAGATCCCATGGTTAGTGTCTCACAAAAATCCACGATCAAGAGCTTCGCGGATATATTTCCCGCAGTGTTCGATCCTGGATATCGGGATGTGAGTTCCCAGTTTCGATCATGAAAATCAGGTATTAATTTTTACTCAGGCCATGAATCAGCGAGGAGTGACAATTCCAATAATCACGAAAGCCATATCGTCTTTGGTGGCAGGAAATAAGAATCTATCCACCAAAGCTAAATTGGCAGATTTGCTAGAGCTCACTTCCTCCCATCACACGGGTGACTTGACGATACAGCCTCAACTTCCAAGTTGCAAGAATGCAGTCCTCTCATCCCTTTGGCGTGTCGCGCAGAACAATGTGCCCAAAATAAAACCCAAAAGAAGAGGAGTTTCGATGCTTTTCACAGAATTTCCATCGAACGGACTGGCTGGATTAGACGAGCTCGTGAATCTTACGTCTATGGATCAGCATCAACCTGATAATGAAAATACGGGACAGCGTCGTTCCTCTCAAACAAAATATCACGACGAGAATGAAGAAAGCGACGTGTGCTTGTTGAATAGCGAATCCGAGGACCAGCTTTTGGACAATTTCAGCGAGACAAGCTTCACAGACATCGGGGAATCGACGCAAACATCTCTTGATACATTGTTCTCGACAACTGGGTCTTCCCAGACTTCATACGGTGACCGTGATGCTATGCTTCTCTCGGATCATGGCGAATTGGCGGATTATTTGGAAAACTACGTGATAGATTATGATCCTCGAGAAGATATGGAGGCATACGATGCGGACATTATAATGGCTGATTATCTTTAGATTCTTTATATGATACCTTTGCTGTGATATATAATAGCACATAAATAATTATTACGACCTTGACCATTGAAATGTAGCATTACATTCTTGCTGCTGAGACCATGAGTTTGAGCAATTGCGAAAGTGTACTGGGTAGTTCCCAGTCGCCATGGCTGTCGTAATTAGATAGCTACAGCAAAGGCCCTGAATCATCACATCTTCTTGTCGGCAATACCAAAAATCAAGGTGACTCCTCGCCCAACCCAAACATTCTAATGGAGTTGTTCCAAGCACTGGAGAGAAGAATAGTTAGCATAGAGCCAAGCATCAGGATGAATCAACATCTTACACTTCGCAAACTTCCTCCACAGTGATACCCTTAACGCTAGCAATAACATGAGCCACACGAGCGATGGCGACAGGCTCATTCCGACCCTTCACCATACACCCCTTCTGCCATTTCTCCTTCTTCACAGCCTTCGGTAGATCCGGTGCACCATCTAAATGTTTGGCAGATGCATGAGAAGGACGGATTTCACACTGGGGGATAGGTTAGTCACGACTGATCCAGACAAAGCTAAGAAAAGTTACATACCCAAGGCCCATCAGTTTCGATTTGTAGCCGATCGAGTGGAATAGCTTTGACAACCTCCAGGTTCTCCTCAGTCTTCATACTGCACCCGTTAACACCGACATCAAGGCCCAGCGCAACCATCCGGTTCATTTCATCCATCGTCCCCGTGAAGCTGTGCACAAGTCCCCGCTTGGGAAGCTTGGCAAGCCTCGGGGCAAGGAGTCTCTCAAAGTCCTCGCTTGCAGCTCTGGAGTGGAGGAATAAAGGGAGCTGAATCTCAACAGCCAGGTCTAGTTGGGCTTCGAAATATTTGAGTTGTGGCTCTTTGGCGCTCATGAACAATCGGTCATAATCTAGGCCGATTTCGCCGAATGCGACAACGTGGCCGGCTTTTGTGGCTTCAATTGCTAGAGTACGAAGCTCGGCCAGCATTTTGTCTGGACCGCCTGGGTATTTGTCGAAGAGTTTTGCTTGGCAGGGATGCACACCAACGGTTGCATAGCAAAAGCCCGCTGTAGAAACTCGTTGTTAATAAGAGAGGGAAAGTCCTGGCAAGCTCGAAACTCACGGTATTTGCTAGCGATATGGACAGCGTGCTTCGATTCTACAAGATCTGAGCCGGTTACCATGAACTTTGAGCAGCCTACATCGCGAGCACGCTGGATAACGTCGTCGAGATCGTCTTCGTGGGCCTGCTTTCCGTGATATTTACCGCGGAAAACGGGATCACTCAAGTTGATACCGATCTAGTGTTTCATAGTTAGCTATGTGTTGACTAGCATTTCGAAAATAAACAAAGGGGACATACATCAACATATCGGAGAGGTTTAGATTCGGCCATTTTTAATGTGGTCTGTTGTCTTTCAATAGTGGAGATTGTCCTGGGATTTCCAGCAGATATGGAATTTATAGAAGACAGACCAATCAAGCTGTGACTCTTAGGAAAACCTACGAGATGAGTCAGTTCAAGCTTTGCCAGATCACTCAGCCTCCACGGCTAGACTAGGTGGTAAGCCTGTATTTGGACACAAGACAAACCTAACGAAACAGGTCTATCTATGCCTGTTGACCTCACACCCGAGGTGATATTGCGGCGAAAACTTTTCAAAGCACAGTCAACAGCAGAGTTGATTTGCATTAGATGGATAGAGTAGATATCCTTGTTATTGTGTTGTTGAGATGGTTCCTCTGTGTTGACTTCCGGTCGGAAAGTTCTCAGCCGCATTGTGGCTGAGGCATTCAATGTGGCTGGTGATGAATGATGCCTGACAATTCAGGAGGCATATCTCACCCCCCGCTCGGAGTCTCCGCTCGGAGCGAAATCCGTAGTCCAGTCGGTGCGTTGCCGATTCGAGACACTCGAGGTGTTTTAGATTTCGTCAAACATGAATGATTCCGTGTAAGCTCAGATTGAACGCCAACTTCTTTTGCTGTTCTTATCGTCTGGAGCTGATTGCGTAGGGTGATCCTAAAGACATCCAAGACCATTTCAAAAGTGTGAATACAACATACAGCACTACATATAGAAAGTTAGATGCTCGACAGGAAGCTCGGGAGACTTTAGCCCGCGCAGTCCGGGGTAAGTCCGGGGACATTACCGAATGCCATCCCCGCCCCAGACCCTTGCTGAGTATTTAGCTCGCTGTGGATGGCTGTTTCGAATTGTCTCCACTCATTCAATCTCCTTCACAATTCGACATACAGGACCGGCGTCTTTTAGTATCGCGGTCAATTTCCCCACAGCTGACCTAAGAATACGCACGCTCATACCGCCCGACAGCAATGGCAGACCAAAAACTTCTGTCTGCTCAGCAGATCTCAGAGCACAAAACGCCCGAAGACTGCTGGGTTGTGGTCGACAAGCAGGTGTGGGATGTGACTGACTTTTTAGAAGAGCATCCTGGAGGATCTGCAAGTACGTACACCGACAAATGCACGATCTCAGGACGATATCTGATCCACCTCGCGAACAGTCATCCTGAAGCATGCAGGGAGAGATGCGACGAAAGCCTATTCAGAAGTCCACGCACCCAGCGTAATGAAGAACAATCTCCACCAGGAGAAGTTCAAGGGCGTCCTCGATGAGTCTACAATTGATGCTGACTGGGCCAAACCACCACCGGGGCAGAGTGCCAAGGTGATACTGGAAAACGAGAAACCCCCGTTGGAAACACTGATCAATTCGCACGACTTCGAGGTCGTGGCTTCAAAAACCGCTAGCAAGAAGACCTGGGCCTTTTACTCCAGCGCAGCTACAGACCTCATCACACGGGACGCCAATAAATCATGCTTTGACCGCATATGGTTCCGTCCGCGAGTCCTAAGAAACGTCCGTTCGGTAGATGCCCGGACAAATATCCTCGGTGGGAGTTACAAGCTCCCGCTATTCGTGAGTCCGGCAGCAATGGCAAAGCTCATCCACCCGGATGGAGAGTGCGCCATTGCTAGAGCCTGCGCAAGCAAAGGAATCATGCAAGGAGTGAGCTTATATAGGTGTTGCCATTGTCAGTCACTAGCTTACGATCTGGATAGATTTCAAATAACTCATCCTACACCATGGAGGAGCTGCGCACGGCAGCGCCCTCGGCCGACTTCTTCTTCCAACTGTACGTCAACCGAGACCGAGCAAAGTCCGCCGCCCTGCTTCGCCAGTGCTCAGCAAATCCGAACATCAAAGCAATTTTCGTCACCGTCGACGCCGCATGGCCCGGTAAGCGCGAAGCCGACGAGCGCGTCAAGGCAGACGAGAGCTTATCCGTGCCTATGTCGCCGTCGAAGGCGCAGAACGACAAGAAAGGCGGCGGTCTCGGCCGCGTCATGGCCGGGTTCATTGACCCCGGGCTGACATGGGAGGATTTGAAATGGGTGAAGCAGCACACGCACAAGCCGGTGTGTCTGAAAGGCGTGATGTCAGCGGATGACGCGCTTCTCGCCATGAAAGCGGGGCTTGATGGTATCTTGCTCAGCAATCACGGCGGTCGCAACCTGGATACCAGTCCGCCGTCGATTATCACGCTTCTGGAGATCCACAGACGCTGCCCGGAGGTCTTTGATCATATGGAGGTCTATGTGGACAGTGGTATTCGGCGTGGAACTGACATCCTCAAGGCTGTATGTCTGGGCGCAACGGCCGTGGGAATGGGTCGGAGCATGCTCTTTGCTACTAACTATGGCCAGGAGGGAGTGGAGCATCTGATTGACAGTAAGTGATGATTGACATCTTGCCTTGATAGTTTGCTGATTCAGGTTTCTCTAGTCATGCAAGATGAGCTGGAAACAGCTATGCGGAACATTGGCATCACATCCCTGGCGGAGGCGGCCCCTGAGCTTGTGCACACTGGGGATGTTGACCACCTGGTTCCAGCATCCCGCTCGCACCCTTACGCTCGGGCCATAGCTAAAGGACGGCGACCGAGGTCGAAACTTTGAATATACAAGTTGGGTAACCGTATGAGAGATATTGCATTGGGATTGCAATGTTGACCAATCGCATAGCGCGGTGACGTGAGCCATCTATTTACTTTAGGACATACCATACAGAATATATTTCCTACCTAATTAGACTAGTATACTTGCCTACTTTACTAGTTACTTGACCTATGATCAAAAATCCCCAAATTTCTGACCCTCGGATCTAGGGTGGAAAGGGGAACAATTCATTCCTGCCAAGATTATCGACACTTCCCCAGGCGGGCCCTTACAGCCATCGAATACTTGCGTGCCCCTGGCCATAAAAACATTACAGCACCTCTCCTCCGTACTCCGTAGGGTCTGCTGATCTCACACGATTCCTTTGATCCGGACGTTCCGGGCACATTAAGCGATTGCGGGGTGAGAAACGCATGAATCTGGAAATTGAAAACGGACAAACGGACACGTCGCACCATAGAGGATCAAGGATATCTGCACGAAATAACTGTTTGTTGCATATTGTACTGCGTAGCACATCGAATCTGTTGCCAAAAGTGTACGTTGTCGTACTTCGTAGATCACTCGGAAGGCGGTCCCAACTCCGAATCTCACACCGCTCCACTCCTCTGCTTCCGTGGGCTTGGAATATTGTTCTTCGAATCCATTCAAGGTCCACTATCAGGTCATGGGATTACTCAACGTTGAGGAGTGGCGATCAACCCCGGTCTTCCCAGAACTGGAATTGCATTACATTTTGTGGCTTGCGACCAAGGTTTGGTGCAGACTGACTCACCAGTTGGGCGTGGGAGCCACTCACAACCAAGGGGTTCCAGCGCGATATGCATAACGGAACCGCTGTGCATGGCATGTATCTCCGGCCGGATACCCTCTCCGCCTTCTTTTCCACTTCTCGTCGAGTGGGGGACTACGTTGGACAATGCAGATGGGTGTTACGATTATGGAGTAGGGAGTGCGTTACCCCGTTCTGCAGGAAGACACCCAATAATGGCCGCTGTCTACGCTGGTGGTTATTTCA